AGGAGGAATGGGAGAAGGTCATGTGGTCTGATGTGGTCCTCTGTAGCTCAACTGGTAGAGCACGGCGCTTGTAACGCCAAGGTAGTGGGTTCAATCCCCGGGACCACCCATACACAAAAATGTATGCACGCATGACTGTAAGTCGCTTTGGATAAAAGCATCTGCTAAATGGCATATTAAATATTATTAAATTAAATTATTAAAATTAAAATTAAATTAAATTAAATTATTACAAAAATATAGCTTTTTGGTCTAAACTCCACTCGCCGTGTTTGGAGGAAGAAGAAGGATGAGTACAACCCCAAGAACACCATCCCAATCGTGAAGCATGGAGGTGGAAATATCATTCTTTGGGGATGCTTTTCTGCAAAGGGGACAGGAAGACTGCACCGTATTGAGGGGAGGATGGATGGGGCCATGTATCGCGAGATCTTGGCCAACAACCTCCTTCCCTCAGTAAGAGCATTGAAGATGGGTCGTGGCTGGGTCTTCCAGCATGACAATGACCCGAAACACACAGCCAGGGCAACTAAGGAGTGGATCCGTAAGAAGCATCTCAAGGTCCTGGAGTGGCCTAGCCAGTCTCCAGACCTGAACTCAATAGAAAATCTTTGGAGGGAGCTGAAAGTCCGTATTGCCCAGCGACAGCCCCAAAACCTGAAGGATCTGGAGAAGGTCTGTATGTGTGGGCCAAAATCCCTGCTGCAGTGTGTGCAAACCTGGTCAAGACCTACAGGAAACGTATGATCTCTGTAATTGCAAACAAAGGTTTCTGTACCAAATATTAAAAGTTCTGCTTTTCTGATGTATCAAATACTTATGTCATGCAATAAAATGCAAATTAATTACTTAAAAATCATACAATGTGATTGTGAAGAGGTTGGAGTCTGTTTGATTGAGTGTGTGGACAGGTGTCTTTTATACAGTTAACGAGTTCAAACAGGTGCAGTTAGTACAGGTAATGAGTGGAGAACAGGAGGGCTTCTTAAAGAAAAAGTAACAGGTCTGTGAGAGCCGGAATTCTTACTGGTTGGTAGGTGATCAAATACTTATGTCATGCAATAAAATGCAAATTAATTACTTAAAAATCATACAATGTGATTTTCTGGATTTTTGTTTTAGATTCCGTCTCTCACAGTTGAAGTGTACCTATGATAAAAATTACAGACCTCTACATGCTTTGTAAGTAGGAAAACCTGCAAAAAACGGCAGTGTATCAAATAGTTGTTCTCCCCACTGTATATCCACATGTTATGTCCATGGTTGACATAGAATTAGACTAATTCTAAATTCTATGATTGGAATGATGCACTGAATGGTTTCTTGAGAATGATACAGCCCCTTTGTGACAGGTGCATTTCCCAGGAGGCCTTGCCAGGCTGGGATAGGAGACACTGCAGGAGGTTAAATTAACATGTAACTCCACCACCAACCAATCAGATTACCACCAGCCCTGAGCTGGAGATATGACCTGCACCAAAAAGACTCATACACCCTAATGCAATAATTAATAACACTAATTAATGAATTAATAACATTAATTCACACACACACACACACACACACACACACACACAGCATGTTAAAGCCTGTCTGTATCTGTCTCTGCTCAGATAGGGAGGGCTTTTGTAGGGACCTGTCACCTGTAATTTGAAAAACCAATTCAATTAAATCTTAGGGTGGTACTCATCTCATCTCAGGTCTGAACACAGTGCTAATCAAAGATTTCACCTTGCCTGATCACTCTTTCTGTCTCTGTCTCTGGTTTGAGCATATTTAATTTGTGATTACGGAGATGGTCAAAGCACCAATTTAACCCGCCGCCCTAGTTTTCATACCTTTAATTAATGGCATCTCCTTGGAAACCCAGATCGACTATAGAGCAATCTGTCTGTCATTGTCTCGGTAGAGAACAGAGCCAGTGAATAGAATGGACACATGTTGCCAGACACAGAGAGATAGTTAAATAGACACAGAAGGCCAATCCAGAGATCCTGATAGAAAACTCACAGAAAAATCATGGAACATATCATGAAATCATCAAACCATCATAAAAGCAGAGAATTATCTAGGGCAATCAATTCAAAACAAAACCTCTATTTTAATATACGTTCACACACCATTTGCAAGCTGTCAAAGCAGGAAGGAGCATAATCCATACAACCTAGACAAATTGAATTGTGTTGTTTTGGTCTGTGAACTACAACAGGGATATGCTTGTAGGAACCTAGGTCCCTTTGAGACACACACACCACACAAACGCACGCACGCGCAAACACAAACACACACACAGGTTCAGCAGGATATGATGAGATGTAACACCCACACTGACACAGTAGCAGAAAACAACGTGTGATCGCCTCAGATGAGCCTGTGTATGTGTGTGTGTTTCTGACGCTATTACTGAACACACTTGCATTCCAGAGGACTACCTTAACAGGCTGTTTTGCTAATCCAATATGTACATTTGTTTTGCTCAAATAGGTATTTTACAGTGAGCGTCTGTCACTGCTCCATACTGTAGTTATGAATTAATTCCCAACAGCTTAATGTGTTTGTGTGTGTATTTTTTGTTGAAAAGGTTAGCTCTGGAAGAGTGTTAGTGGAAGTGCTGGTCTGTTTTCTCAATAAAAAAATAACATAATAGCATGATAACGTGGTAATGTGATAACATGATAACATGATAGCATGATAGCATGATAGCATGATAGCATGATAGCATGATAACATAATAACCTGATAGCATAATAATATAATAACATGATAACATGGTAACATGGTAACATGGTAACATAATAACATGGTAACATTAGAACATAATAACATGATAATATAATAATGCCAATAGCATGATAATGGACAAATGTGGGTAAATGGTTGTTGTCTGTCGAATAGGAAGTCCAGTATGAAGTCCAATAAGCTAGGTTCTATAGAGGATAAAATGCTAGTTCTGAATGACATTTGTTATAAGCATGTAGAGTACTTCCTCTTTTTATTTTATTCAATCATTCCCCATAAATACAACCTAATAAACTGAAGTGTCTTGAACAAACCCAAAAACCCATTCCTTATAGAATGTAGATTCCTGCAGGTTGGCATCAGTACTCTTTGAAAGGTTCTTGCAGAGTACAAGACATATTTTCGAAAGTGAAATGTCTAAAGTAGTCTGCTCTAAAAGTAGAAGTGCTGTACTGAGACATTTTAAAAATGTTAAGAGTAGACTCAGCGATATGACATAGATGCAGAAAGTAAACAGCATAGAGTGTCAAAGTGTGAGGCTAAACTTCTCCTCTGTTTTGGTGCCCTGGCTACTAAGTCTTGCATCTTGCTCATCTCAATATATTAGGTGCTGCTCGTGGCAACATCATTTAGCTGAAACTACCTTTAAGTTGAGTCAACCAAAATCTTTTTAAACTTCATGTTCTCCTTGGGCCTCAGTGCCCGTCTATAGGGAGGTCAGGTCTGACCATATCTCCAGTGCCCGTCTATAGGGAGGTCAGGTCTGACCATATCTCCAGTGACAGTCTGTAGGGAGGTCAGGTAATCAACTACATTATCTCCACCTAAGCTATGTTGAGTTTATGTGTGTCCCATTGATAAATAAACACAATGTTTAATAACAGACTTTCTCTTTTTTTCTTCTCTGTGATTTTCTCCCTCCTCTCAGACACAAAGCTCTCCTCTCAGACACCCAGCTCTCCTCTCAGACACCCAGCTCTCCTCTCAGACACCCAGCTCTCCTCTCAGACACCCAGCTCTCCTCTCAGACACCCAGTTCCACCAACACTCTTTGGACAACAAAGTGCCTGGACCAACAACAGAACTGCTAGCATGACATACCAATCCTGGCTAATTAGCTCAGTTGTTCTCTCCCTTTTTTGGTAACTAAACCCCCTATCATATGATTTTAATCTTGGGGATTATTCAAGTACCAATATATTTCCTTATGGTCATTTTACCATTAGGCATATGTTCTTATAAATGTTTTACTCCCTGTGAATACCCTACTACACAATTGTATCTTCTATGTTTGACCAATGTTTGATTGTTGTTTAATAAAGTGTGTCAATCACAGAATGTGTAAGGGTTGGTGTGAGGTGTGACCCAGGTGTGGTGCAGGATAGACAGTAGGCAGTAGGCAAGGATGGTGAAACAAGGATCTTTACTGGTGGTCCAAAAGCCAGGACACAAAACAACGGGCTATACACGAAAACAAATGAGGAGCACATAGGTCTCCAAAAAACAGGCTGACAGCAAAAAATACGAAATACTAACTCTGACTGGAAAAACACAATGACACAGGGAGAACACTTCTCGAGGACCTGTAACTCCGTCACATGATCCAACACTGATACGTATTGCTTGACATCAAGGAAGTAGCAGAGAATACTGAGCAAGGGAACACAGGGAAGTGAGGGCATAAATACACAGGTGAATCAGATAGCCACAGGTGACACCAATAGGCAGATAATTAGTCCCGACTGAGAGTGAGGAGGTGCCTATGGTTGTCAGAGGATGACACCTAGTGGGTCGCAGTTACAGGAGTGGGTCGCAGTTCCGGAGCGACCCACTAGGTGTCATCCTCTGACAACCATAGGCACCTCCTCACTCTCAGTCGGGACTAATTATCTGCCTATTGGTGTCACCTGTGGCTATCTGATTCACCTCCTGTAACAAGTATGGCTAATCTTTATTTCCAAAAATTTTAAATCAACACAAGTAAGCATGTTTAAGAAGTTTATTGCGCCAAAATTTGCAAAATGTACATTATTTTCATTGTTTAACAGTAGGCTAACTTCAATTAACAGTAATTAAAAGCCACATTCACAATGCTTTTGGTGTAGTACAAATTTAAGTAAAAAAAAAAAAAGTTTAGTGACATGTCTGCTGCTGATGTCTGATGTCCTTTTATGGCCTGGACAAATTGTCCAAATACAGCTATGAAGCTGTTGTTAAACGAGGCGGTCTTGGCCATCTCAGCCGCCCTGGCTGTCCTGTCTTCACAGCTGATTGAAGTGGTGATCCTGCTGCTGACGCTGAGCACCAAGTGTCTCCAGGTATAAGCCCTCTGTGTCCCTCATGAAATTCAGGTATTCGCTGGTTGTGCTCGCAGTGTGTTTTCTCTTCCGTCTGAAAATATAAAGGCAGAAGTCAAGACATGTACAGTACAGGAATGATAAGTTCCAGACACTGCCAGTGTTGTTCTCCAACCATGTATTGTCTCATCATGTATTACATTTTAACCAGCAAAGGCCAGTGTGTGGCCAACCAGATACACCAATGATGCCAATAATAAAGGTATTGGGTCAGAACATGATTAATGAATGGCTACTTGGAAAGGTTCTTGAGACCAAGCCAGATTCCAAGGGGTTAGTATGTACAGTACACCTGAAGACAATAACCAACATTATAGAAAGACCAATATCCAAGGTCTCAGTATCTATATTTGCACATCATCTTCTGCACATCTATCACTCCAGTGTTAATATGAAATTGTAATTATTTTGCACCTTGGCCTATTTATTGCTTTACCTCCATAACTTACTACATTTGCACACACTGTATATAGATTTTCTATTGTGTTATTGACTGTATGTTTTGTTTATTCCATATGTAACTCTGTGTTGTTGTTGTTTTTATCGCACTGCTTTGCTTTATCTTGGCCAGGTCGCAGTTGTAAATGAGAACTTGTTCTCAACTGGCTTAGCTGGTTAAATAAAGGTGAAATAAAAAATAAATAAATAAAAATCTGCCAAATGCAAGAAGGTGCAGTCGAAGAACAAGGCTCCTTCAAGTTAAGTAAATAGTTGTTTTTGATTTCACACCAAATACAATTGGGGCCGGTGTGTAGGAGCTAAATAGGTCATATTGTATATTTATATGTTTCCAATTCATAATGCATTTCTGTTGTATGTGTGTTTGCCATTAATCCCCTGTCAAGTGTGTGTACCCCCTCTACAGGGCAATGGAGAACAGTTAAAAGGCAAACATGCTCCAAGGCCTACTGGGAGTTACTGGAATGGCAGCACACAGTCTTTTGACCGTACCAGATCATGTTTACCATGTTGTTTGTTTCTTTGGTTTTAATGATCAGAATTCGTTTTGGTAGAATTCTTAAAATTTTTGTATCTAGAAGAACGACAAATAAATGTATCATTATTTTTCATCTTGAATCAAACTCTGGGCATTGGATTTGTATGCGTCAGGACTAACATTTCACCACTCTCCATCGTGGCTAAAGGATTAGAATGGACATTTTATTGGGACAATTATATTGGACAATTTAGCCACTACAGAATCAGTGTGACAGTTGTATTTATACATTGCTAGATCCACAATGTCTCCTTGAATAATGTTTAGGAACATAACACTGCCATGACAAAGCCCTCTGTGGATGAGATTGCCCACAGATAAATCATGTGATTAGGGCTAAACACGTGAATATGACAATCAATTGATATTGAACTGTTTACCAACCGAGAATGGACCCTTGGCGCCTGGGGGTGCAGGGCTCAGTGGTTGCAGGAGCATAGCTTGTGTCAATGGACCCTGGGTGTCTGGGGGTGTAGGGCTCTGAGGTTGTGGCTTCACCATTCGAGCATGCAGTCCGTAGGTTCAGGAATGTCCTCTGAAAAGTATAAATATGTTTGTTTGTATAACGTAAAGTCGATACTCTGGCTAAGGTTGCTGAATCGAGTCGCTGAGCTGACAAGGTAAAAATCTGTCATTCTGCCCCTGAGCAAGGCAGTTAACCAACTGTTCCCCAGGCGCCGAAGACGTGGATGTCGACTGATGCAGCCCTCCGCACCTCTCTGATTCAGAGGAGTTGGGTTAAATGCGGAAGACACATTTCAGTTGAATGCATTCAGTTGTACAACTGACTAGGTATCCCCCTTTCCCTAACATCAAACATGTAGCGAAGTCCACGGCTTTGGCCTTCCATGGATATTTATATGAAAAGTTGTCGACCCTGTTTCAAGTCTCGCGCAGTGATCACGCTCACATGCTACAGCAAGCTATGCTAGATAGTAATTAGACTAAAACAATGTGTCACCGTGCTGATCATCGCTGCTCTGCGTCATCATGGTCTTTTATCTTTTTACATTCCAGTTTGAGTTTCTTACTTTTTTCCCTGCACTGTTTTACTGACCGATGGATTCCCATCTCTAATGTATCCAATATTTGCTGAAAAGCGCTTGGACATCTCCAACTGACCAATTTGCTGCTTCCAATATTCGTTTTTAGCTTCAGAGTTGTTCGTTAGTGTAGCTGTACCAAGTTCTATCTGTCAGATTTACATTCTCTTATCTAAACGGCGCTAGTGACTCGTGCATGAGTATTAACAAAATACTGTGGCATCATTGCGTGAGACCAATCATTGAGTACGGCCATTTGTAACTCCACCCACCGGCCTACTTGGTTCGAGGTCTGTACCTGATATTAAATGGGGCTGGATATCCAGCTTGGTTCCAGGAAACAAAGAGCGTGTGAAACGCCATAATGGTCAACTCTAATCACCTCAGCCCGTGATGAGGGTAGGTGCCAGAACAGCTCTCTCTCTCTCTCTCTCTCTCTCGTATCTATCTCTATTATCGCTACTATATCTCTTATCTATGATCTATCTCTCTCTCTATATATATATCTCTCTCGCTCTCTCTCTCTCTCTCTCTTCTCTCTCTCGCTCTATCTCTATCTCCCTCTCTCTCTCTTCTCCTCTATCTCTCTCTCTCTCTCTCTCTCTCTCTCTCTCTCTCTCTCTCTCTGCTTTATTGGCATGAAAAACATGCATGTATGCAATATACATTGTAATAAAATATTAAAGAATAACAAATAATATAAAATGGTGGTAAATAATAATACAAAAAAATAACAACAATAAAATGGTAACAGTCAATAGTAGAAATATCATAAATAGAAAAGGCTAAACATGGAAAATGAAACTATAACTAACAGAACTACTGTGGGGAAAAAAAGTATTTAGTCAGCCACCAATTGTGCAAGTTCTCCCACTTAAAAAGATGAGAGAGGCCTGTAATTTTCATCATAGGTACATGTCAACTATGACAGACAAAATGAGGAAAGAAAATCCAGAAAATCACATTGTAGGATTTTTTATGAATTTATTTGCAAATTATGGTGGAAAATAAGTATTTGGTCAATAACAAAAGTTTCTCATTACTTTGTTATATACACTTTGTTGGCAATGACACAGGTCAAACGTTTTCTGTAAGTCTTCACAAGGTTTTCACACACTGTTTCTGGTATTTTGGCTCATTCCTCCATGCAGATCTCCTCTAGAGCAGTGATGTTTTGGGGCTGTCGCTGGGCGACACGGACTTTCAACTCCCTCCAAAGATGTTCTATGGGGTTGAGATCTGGAGACTGGCTAGGCCACTCCAGGACCTTGAAATGCTTCTTACGAAGCCACTCCTTCGTTGCCCGGGTGGTGTGTTTGGGATCATTGTCATGCTGAAAGACCCAGCCACGTTTCATCTTCAATGCCCTTGCTGATGGAAGGAGGTTTTCACTCAAAATCTCACAATACATGGCCCCATTCATTCTTTCCTTTACACGGATCAGTCGTCCTGGTCCCTTTACAGAAAAACAGCCTCAAAGCATGATGTTTCCACCCCCATCTTGCGTGGAGCCCCAGATCGAGGTAGATTATCAGTGGTCTTGTATGTCTTACATTTCCTAATAATTGCTCCCACAGTTGATTTCTTCAAACCAAGCTGCTTACCTATTGCAGATTCAGTCTTCCCAGCCTGGTGCAGGTCTACAATTTTGTTTCTGGTGTCCTTTGACAGCTCTTTGGTCTTGGCCATAGTGGAGTTTGGAGTGTGACTGTTTGACGTTGTGGACAGGTGTCTTTTATACTGATAACATGTTCAAACAGGTGCCATTAATACAGGTAACGAGTGGAGGACAGATGAGCCTCTTAAAGAAGAAGTTACAGGTCTGTGAGAGACAGAAATCTTGCTCGTGACCAAATACTTATTTTCCACCATAATTTGCAAATAAATTCATAAAAAATCCTACAATGTGATTTTCTGGAAAAAAAGTTCTCAATTTGTCTGTCATAGTTGACGTGTACCTATGATGAAAATTACAGGCCTCTCTCATCTTTTTAAGTGGGAGATCTTGCACAATTGGTGGCTGACTAAATACTTTTTTTCCCCACTGTAACTGTCATTCTCACCATTACATCAGCACTACAATTACCATCATCATTACTACTGCTACCACCACCATCTTTAAACTGCTATCATACCATCACCCTTACTACCATCATCATTACTACTGCTACCACCACCATCTTTAAACTGCTATCATACCATCACCCTTACTACCATCATCATTACTACTGCTACCACCACCATCTTTAAACTGCTATCATACCATCACCCTTACTACCCGCACCACTACTATTTTGAATAATAATCACAACAATAAAAACAATTATAATAATAGTAATAACAATAATAGTAATAACAATAAAACCACTAATAATAATAATTGTAATAATAAATAAGTTACTGTTTACTATGCAGATGTTATTATTCAGTGTCCCTCAGGCTATGGCAGGCAAATACGTATTTGGCTGCAAGAGGAGCCATAGCTCCTTCGCCCATTATTATTTTTTGTTTTTCCTCTGGGTTTAATAAGTAAACATTTGGAATAAATGTAGTAATTTCTGTGAATAATGAATCTCTTGGTGAGGAATATTTATCACAGTAAAGTGCATCTCTGTTTCTACCTCCCCTGTCGTGCAGTGACCACATACACGCTCCTCTTTGGGTAGCCATGTCTTTTTATGTCTGCCGGTTTCTATTGCCAATTGGTGGTCACTCAGCCTGTACTTGGTAAGAATCTGTCTCTGCTTCGTATCTCTGACAGAGTAGAGATAATCAGCCAATTCATATTCTCTGTTTAGGGCCAGATAGAAATTTAGTTGGCTTTGGGATTTTGTTTCGTTTTTTCTAATGTTGTAAATATGAGTCCTTTGATTGGTTCATGATTTTGTTTATTTGAATTATTTATTTTGAAGCAGTGCTGGTGTCAGCTTGGTTGGTTAGGTCCAACACCAGCTGACTGAGAGTGCTCTTTTCTGGGCTCAGCTCTTGGGTTTGAAGTGCTTTAAATTGGAGACTTGAATTTGGACTTGAATTTAGATTTAGCTCATCAGTAGCATTCCCATTGCCATCGTATTCTGGCCAGCTCCATCATCCTCAGCTCCCTCATCTCTAGGTCGTCGGTTTCCTTGTGTACTCTGTTGCAGTGGTTTAGATGATACCAGGTCAATCTCCCCTCTATCCGTACAGCCATTGGTGTAGCCTGGTTGACGATGTATGGTCCCTTTAGCTCTGAACCTTCTTCCGTCACTAGGGTCTCGGGCTCAGGCAGAATCTTTCTAAATTTATCAACATAGTTCTGTGGAGTGTGTCTTTCTGGAAGCGTACCAATAGGGAAGCTAAGAGAGACTGCTGCAAAGACACACAGACACAGACAGACACAAAATAAAACAATGCTCTGCAGTGGCGGTGCCATCTTCCTCCTCTGGGGTTGGAACACTCCTACAGTGGGACACTTTCCCCTCCATCTAGATAGCCAGCAACACCTAGTACTGACCTCTCCACCTAGGGTTTGTCCATCTCTTACTTCTGTAATCCTTTACCGCCAGTCTCCAGGGCGCAGACAATGCTCATATTCTCCTACTCAGTTGGGCAGAGAAGCCTTCACCCGTGGGAAGAAAGTCTTAAGAACATTGTTAGGTGAGACATCGTATCCTACTATACCCTGTCTTCTTTTCAGTCAGGAGAAGCATTGAGATTAGGAAGTGCCCAACTTGCAGCTTGTTGCAGTCCACTCGTTTCAGATACAATTTGCATATTTACCAAAAAGCCCCATGCGACCAGTACTTCCACCCTTTGGACACATGACTCACATCGTGATTCATGCATTCAAAAAACAAAACAACAACATTGCCTGTTAAACCAAAATAATAAATGAAATTAAAATGCAAACCTTTGATAATATCTTAACTTAATTGTATCCCATAAGGTAATTCAAGGAATAGTACAATTTACCAGCGACATGTGTCCCTCATTAAGGACTAGCTCTCTCACTCTATCCTTGTTATGGTCCGAATCATATACTGTATAGGACTATTGCCAAATTATAAACTTCTTCATAATTATCAGTATTGCAAACAACCCTCAACTTGGTATAATAAATGACCTTAAATTCATCATCCTATGTCTCTCGGTTTTCCAGTGTGTGTGATCAAATCACACTAGAAAGTCAGGACAGAGGTCAGAGGTCATTCAAACCCTTCAAAGAAGTGTTTCATTCTAGAGTAGACTAATTATTAACAACAGTCAAAACATTTCATACATTTTGTATCCCAAGTGTACAGTAAGTCCTCATTATATTTATACCCAAAACTCACTCAGAAAACAAAAACTGCCCCTTTAAGACTTGTCATCTCTAACCTGTGAAAACCCACTAAAATTAAAATAAAAACCCTATATAACAATCATACTAGATGGGTTGTGTGTGGTTATTTGAAAAATCATATGGTAAAACAACAAACA